TGATTGCCTTCAATGTGCAGCTTCAGGGCCTTCAAGGTCAGGAATGAAGCGTCACAATGAGCGCATTTCAATTCCCCTGGGACCTGGTCACGGAGTGGTTGGAAGGTCTGTTGAACCGTGGTGTGAGGATGTTGCAGGCTGAGATGCTGGTGAAGACCTGCTGCGGTTGCGAACTCACTGCCACATACCGGGCAGCTGAACTTTGCCTGCGTCAAGTGGGTACCTGTCAGGTTGGGCTCTGGTGCATCCGGATTGGATTGTCTGTACTTGCGGTCACCAAGGGCGAGCCCCAACTGCTTCATGACTGCACAGGTATGTGTCTTCGATTTGAATTCCTTTTTGCAGTAGTCACAGGGTGATTGAACCCGAGCCCTTGTGATGTTGGGCAACACTTGATTGATGATAAAGGCAGCATGGTCTCTACTGACATGTGCGCTCATCTGTTGCGTCCGTGCTGCCCAGTAGCCACAAAGAACACATCGATGTGTGAGAAAGGTGCTAAGGTTACCATCCTCTTTCAGCAGCTGAAGGTCTCCGGAGTCATAGATGTCCAGCAAGCGTCTGCGGTGTTGCTGCAGGATCAATGGTGGGGGCTTGGTCGAATCAAGACCAGGACAAGAGCACGTTTGAATATGATGTCTTAGATTTTGCCAACTGATGAACGCTACACCGCAGCGTCTACATATACAGCGTCCATCAATGGTGTCCCGTGCAATGCTCAATGTAGGGCCCTGTAGGACTGCAATCCCATGTACATGGACCAAGTGTCTGCGGAGAGTGAAGTGATGTTTGAACTGCGTGCCACATGTTGAACATTCCAGGCTGGCCTCTGCAAGCTGCTGAGGACCATCATTGTCAGGCTCTGCGCCGTGAAGTCCTGCAGCCATATCTGTGTGAATTCAAGAGCTTGTCGTAAGTGCAAAACGCTGGAGTTCTGAAGGATGTGATTCTGTGGCAATTGTTTTTGTCTCTCCTCCCACCGGTTCAATTGGGAGAGCAGTCGACGATGCAGGGCACCAATGGGGTGCTCCAGCCCATGTGTGCGCAGGAATGCTCGATGAGAATTGCTGGTCAGGAAGGAGTGATCACCTCCTATGTGACGAAGCTGACTCATCATCTGCCTTTGAAACAGGACAAGGGTGCTATCCGTCACTCCAATGGCGTCAATGCCGTGCATGGAGATGGGGAACAGACAGGTGTACCATAGTTCGCATTTCTGTGCCATGCTGATGTGATTCCCCTTCTTGAACCAAGGTAGCAGCTGCCGAAATCTGTGATTGCATGATGCCAAACGATGCTTCATCGACAGGGTTTGGGTTTGCTGATAGCTGATCTTCACTCCCAAGTAGTCGTGTGAAGTCTTGAGTGGAATGTCATACATCTGAGTAGACCCTGGAATCTGCAATGTTTGTTGATACAATCGACGGCGCAAGTATTGTTTTTGCACCGCGCTTTTCTGTTTTCCATGAAGGTCCAGGAGTACAGCTGATTTGTTCAGGTTGACGGTCATCCCAAATTTACTCAGTGTATCCAAGGCGTGGCCCATGTACTTTAAGCCTTGCTGAAGTTCAGCCATGCTTGTGAATCGAAAACCCAGATGACCATCATCTGCGTAGAATGTGCAGGAGTCTTGCATCCAGGCTGTTGAGGTGAGCTTTGCTACCTCGTTGAGGATCAAGGCCACAAAAGAGGCCCAGAAGAAGGGGGCGCCACGGCAACCTTGTCGTACACCCTTGTATGTATTGACAGTGCAGGTATGACCTTTGTACGTCAAAATGTATGTTGTGTCAACATGCCATTGAAGTAGGACGCCCATGATGCTTGATGGAATATTCAGCAGTTCAAACGCTTGTTGTAAGGACGCACGAGGCCTATGATCAAAAGCCTGTGTTAGGTCCAAAAAGAGCTGACGCCCACCATATACCAAAGGGCGTGTCCGTGAGGCTTGGGAATCTGTACGACTTGCATTGTATTTCCATCGTTCACTGAGCTGCTCCACTTCTTGGACATGATGGAAAACACGGCATATGGCATCCCATGTTCCACGTCCAGGCAAGTATGCAAACCGTGGGAACGTCCGCAAGGTGGGAAGGGCATACTGTCTGGCTCTGTTGACAAAAATTGACATGAGACTTTTGGCAATAGGAGTTTGCAGTGCTGTAGGTCGTAGTGCGTTAGGTTGTGTTGGCGCCTTGTTGGGTTTGGTCAGAAAGACGATCCAGCCGCATCTCCATTCTTCAGGAAGGTGTCCTTCACAAAACCATGTGGAGCACCAGCCCGCCAGTAGTTCCCCAAGAGTAGAGGCGAGTTCCTTCCTGAGAAAGCTTGGTGCAATGTGTTGTGGTACGGCCTTACGTCCTTCCAAGTGGCTCAGTTCAGTGGCTATATCATCCGCTGTCACCGTGAGCGGGGGCAGATTGAACGAAGGAAAATGGACCGGGTTGTCATGTCACAAGGTTTTCATGTAACTGTCCAGTTCCTGAAGTTCCTCTTCTGGGGAGAGAAGTTGGCCATGTGAACCTCGGAGATGGGGTTTTTGTGCATAAGCTTTAGGAGTCAGGTTGTTGAAGGTCTTGAGGTAGTAGTGTGTGTTGTTGTTTGCCCAGTACAAGGTTGCAGTATCAATGATGTTCTGAACCCTTGCTCTACGATGGTGAAGGGCAAGAGTACGAGTCTGTTTCCTCCACTTGTTCATGTGTGACCCATTGCCAGCCCTGAAGAAAGTCAAGAAGCTGCCGTCTGGTCGTGGGTTTCCAGCTTGGAGCTGGAGGATGTGCTAGTGCCCATTGCCATTTAGTGAGCCATCCATCCTGAGCCGGTCGATGAGATGGGCGGAATGTTCGACAGGCGTCCAACAAGGTGGCATTGAGAGCATTGGGATCTGGAGAGTGCGGGTCCCACAAAGCCAATTCATTCTGTAGGTTGGCCAACAATGCCCTCCAATCCTGTGTGTCCTGAGCCCAGTGATACTGAAGGGTTTGTTGCTGCATCCGACTCAGCCCCTGTGGCTTGGAATGATGGTAGAACCGCCTAATGCCACACAGCATGGGTTGGTGGTCTTCATGAAGGCCCATCATGTGAGGAAGATCCTGCAAGTAACTGACATGTTTGGCAGTAGGATCCCCATCTCTCTGTTGGATCAAAATAAAATCAATCCTTGACGAGGCGTGACGGGGGCCTCGATACGTAGCAGGAAGATCCGGTGTCCAGGTGTTGAGTGCAACCATGGAGAAGTCCTTGAGGAGCCGTTGCAGGATGTGTGCATCTTTGTGGACTGTACCTTTAGATCTACCCGTAGGAGTGGCAAAGTCACTGAGGCCAACACAGTTGGTTTGACGCTTAAGGCTTGTGTTGAAGTCTCCCCCAACAATCCAGCAGTTGCGTTTTGGGAGGGCCTTAATCGTGTGTTCCAAGGTCCTCCAAAAGCGGAGCGTTGCATTTCACAGTCGGTGTCAGCCGTATTAAATGGAAACTGATACAGGTTCAGGATGTCGATGCTGTAGGTATGTTTGTATAGTCTGACATGCTGTATCCTGCTTTCCATCGGTGTGGTCCAAGCAATGTTGTTATCAGAACAAAAGTCAGTCCTCACGATGGTCAACAAACCACCTCTGTGATGTTGAGCTCCTGAGTGGATGTAGGAGAATTGTTGATCTTTCCATTCACCTGTGAACTGCCAACCGGCGTCCTGCAAGCAGGCGCAGTCGATGGGTTGCTGGTAAAGCCAAGCCCTGAAAAGGTCCCATTTGGACATGTTCAACTGACCTATATTCCAGGAGAAGAAGGACAGTCGATTCTGTCGAAATCTCACCGACGGTCGACGATTCTGGCTCAATGGGGAGCTGTAGGGAGGAGGTTCAGGTGTAGCTGATACTGAAGTTGGATTGCAACACCAGGCATGTGCATTCACGCCAAGTTGGGATGCAGTCATATACTGTCCTTTGCACCAGGTCATACCATGCAATGTCGCTCGTTTCAATGCTCTGATGTATGATTTTTCCTGTGCTGTTGGGAATTCCTGTTCATCTGGAGTGCCGTAGTTCTAGGAAGGTCATTGCCATCATGCTTCGTCCATGATGTCGAACCAACAGGAGCACCAGGTGTTCGGACTCCCCCACCTTCGATGGCTAACCCTCGGGCTGCCAGCATGGAGCGTGAATATTGAAAGCAAAAGTAGTCATGGTGAGGAGGATCTAGAAGGTCCCCCAACAGGTAAAGCTCCTGCCAGGCTGGGAATTGGGACCCAACTGAGTGGTCATACACAGAAGTGAAGTCGTGGTGCAAGCAAAATCTTCTTCTCCCGAATCGATGTCCGGGTCGTGAAGTGGGGAAGGTGTAAGTCAGGTAGTACCCCACCCAGGCCAAGAGGCTCCAAAGCAGCGGCCCAAAAGCAGCCGAGCTCAGCAGCTGAGTACAGCCGCGGCCGCCGTCCAGGAGCAAGATGACGTGGCACTGGAGCTCCAGTCAAGGAAGAGCGTGTTCACCACTCCATGGCGTCATATGCGCTTTGAACCACTCACAGCCCTTGTCATCATCATCATCATCATCATCATCATCATCATGCCGTCATGCTCAAAAGCAGTGATGTGCGCTTGTCGTCCTCCAGAAATATCATCTGCTTTCGCCCTGAAAGAATCATTGGAGTGGTTCCCACTTGCAGATACTTGCACGCCTTTAGGTCCTTAAGCATGCTCAAGGTACTACTCCTTGAAGGAACCATTCTGTGACACTGTTGTTTCCTCAAGAACACGCTCTTTCCGTTTGACTATTGAGAAAAGGCATGAAAAGGCTTAGTTTGGTGCTTTGTGCGTCCAGGGCCGATTTACTCACTGATGGAGAAGCCATGTGTGTGGTATGGCCCGAAGTCTTTCAAACAGTGGACATATTCATGAATGGCACAATTACAATCATGCAATCATGCAACATCAATTCGCTCTCCTTCTCCGATTTTGCAAACACGAAGAACAAGCTGGCCAAGCTGACTAAGTCAACACTCTGTCCTGAGTAGCCTGTTCCAGGCCGGCTACAACTCCTGCCGAGTGCTCCTGCAAGTCAAAGAAAGTCTGTGTTGAACAAACCGTACGCTTCGAGTTCGAATCACTAAGATATTTACAAAGCACCAGGGAAAAATTGTTTGGAAACTGAATGGGAAGGAAAGGGCCAGAAGCAAATGACATTTGACAAGCAGAATTCCTGGCCTGAGACTTTTGCATTTGGCGCCTAGTCTGTGTTGCAAGCATGGCATCCTCGGTGACCTCACCATCAATAAGTGACAGCCGGATCTCCCCAGTGCGCTTTGGGTCCAAGAATTCCATCAGCCGGAAAATCCCATCCGTAGCTTTGACTTCATGGCAAAGTAACCGAAAATCCTCGCGCGAAACAATCCCAACACCCTCCACATCGACGCTCTCAAAAGCATCTTGAAGGCTTCCAAAGCGCTCTTCACAGCGATCTTTGAACTTCTCCATCATGGCTGGCGTTTTGGGATCCAAACAATCCAGTGTAATTTGCTCGGTTTCCTTTGACTGGCACGCTTGAAATAATCTTTCCGCAATGGTTCGCAGTGCATGTTCTCCCCCATCTGGCGGCATCTGCCCAGCTCTTTTAAGACCCTTCATTAATTGATCAACATTCTCAATCGCATACTTCAGCTCGGGATCCAAGGCAAGTCGCCATGCTTTTGCAATGCCTAGTATAGCAAAAGCAAATGGCAAAAGCAAACAAATGATTGAATCGAATCTGTATCAACATTATTGAATGTGCGCCGAAACATTCACGTAATCCGTAATCTAACATGATGCAACTTGTGCATGAATGGACCAGACATTCAGTGCACTTGCCAAGTGGCTGCCAAATTTGTTGGTAAGGGCCTTAATAAAGTCGCCCTTTGCATTTCGAGCTTCTCTCTTCGTGTGCCACTCTTCCAAGCAGTTCTCTCGCAAAGTATCTTGCTTCGCTAGCAACTCTTTCGCTGGCGGTATCACCACAGAAGCAATCTTTTGATCCAGAAGAGCTTGCCGATGCTCGGCATACTTTTTCAGGAATTGCGGAACAGCTTTCTCTTCGCTCTTCTGCTCATTGAGAATTCTCAAAGTTCTGGTGTTAACATAGCCCACACTCCCGGGATCCAGGTGTCTCAGCAATCTCTCTGGATCCCCAGGATACTCAATTGCATCTGTGACTTTGTAGAACTCTTCATTGTCTACAGGGGCTCCAGCTTTCTTGCTCTTGCTTGGACCGGCAGCTACTTCGGACACCTTGCGCAGCAGCTGTTTTGCAACTTCAGCTTTCCCATCTTTATTGAGAAATGAAGGACATGCATTACGATCCCCCTCGCATATCGAGAAAATGCTGTTTTATACCATAATTGAATCTGAGTGTGCTGGCAGCGAACAACGTGGTACTTTCCCGTCCCCGTTCTCAAAAAAAGGGAGTCGGTACCTTCAGCAATTCTTGGCCAACAGTTGAGCGGAACTTACAATTTCATGCAAACCCTTGATGTGACCATTGCACAGTGGCCAAATATACTAAGTAGGACAAAGGGTGTTTGAAACTTTATTCCGTTGACGAGGTCTGGACAATCAATTCAGAACCAGTTTCTTGTCAAGGTCTCTTCCTTCTGAGAAGATGCATTGAGGAAACATTTGGAGCTCAAGACCCTCCCAACTGGTGTTGAGTAAAATGAAGTCTGACACAAACATGAAAACAAAGAGAGGTAAGGCTCCCTTTCACCCCTTTCATCTCTTACCGACATCTTTCATCTCTGTCTTCTTCGGACTTGGTCTTGTATCTTCTATCACGCCGCCCGGCTGGCCTGAATCAAAGTGATTATTTTTTTTCCCAGCCAAGTTCTTGAACTCTCGAATTTCCTCAAGAAGCGTCACGATCCGCAAATCAGTGTCTGCCTCCTCACCATAAATCTGAACTTATGAGGCAACGCAGTCCTCGACGACTTCTGGACACAAGTCTTTGAACCTGATTCGAGACGATGTGAAAACATGCGAAACCAAATATGCGACACGCAAGGCGACGGAAGGCCTCTTCCAAAGGTCCAGTGATGTAGTGTCAAGACTAGCTGAGAATTACGAGATGACACGAAAAGGTCCCGTTAGCCAGTGAAAAGCCTTGCAGCCTTGCACAACATCCTTCCAGAGAGATGAAGAACACACGTGCTGCAGCCTGGTCCATCCTCGTGGATTGTATATAAATGGCTTACTTATTTCCACTGTCTGATCGAATTTCTATCCTCACTCAACTGATGTACTTTAACTACACACACACATCTTTGAACAAAAGCCACATATGATATGTCACATATATTCACATAATCCGCCGACCCCACACCGTGGGGTGAGGCGTGACTGTCGATGTTAGCCTTAGCCTTAGCCTTAGACCTAGACCTTAGCCTTAGACCTAGACCTTACCTCCCCTACCCCTCCGGACCCTTGTTGCAGTGACGAAATCCGGTTGGAATTCTCCAGGAAAGCGAGGTGGATTCTGCCATCCCAATTGATTTACATCTTGGGGCACCCTCTCGACCCGCGCGGGAAAATAAGCACGGTCCAAAATGGTCCTGGGCTCGAATCCCGGGCTGGTCGCGGCATGGTCCCGGCCAATGCCCTTGCTTTTTCGTAGATTTTGTCACGTTTTCTGTTGGTTTATGAGATTTTCAAAGGCTTTTCTGGCATTTTCCTAGGAATGCTCTAGGCTTTGTCTTTTTGGGTACCTGCTTTGGTGGTGCTGGGTTGGGTCTAAATTCTTGGGCAATGATATCCTTTATGGGGACGAGGGTTCAGCATTACGGGGTTCATGCAAGAGATGACGTCCGATGGTAAACCCGGGAGGTACCCAAAAAGTCGACTTTTTGGGTACCTGCTTTGGTGGTGAAGGGTTGGGCCTAAATTCTTGGGCAATGATCGGGGTTCATGCAAGAGCTGACGTCCG